AATAAATCGCGAACGCTACAGCTGAACCACACGCCTTGGTGGGTGTAGAATCAATGTCCTTTACGAATTATAATCCTAGACTATAGCCACGTTTTCCCGCAATAAATCCTATACTGAATCCTCTAATAGCCCTTCACACATCTTACTGCTTGTCTTTTCGTGCTACGCATTAGCTCAGGTTTGCGGTTAGTAATCACTTTGGATGCCTGGGTAAGGCCTTCTTTAAGGAACTGCTGGGTTGTAGAGGTTCTGTTGGTTGAAAGCGCACAGCGCTTGGCATGGCCGTGATTATGTATGATTCATCTGACTTTGCTTATGCCGCGGAGGGGACCTCTGCACCCACGACAATCTGCGGCAATGATCAAGGTGCAATTTGGGCAGCAAACCGAAAATCTGCGTCGTTGGCGCCTTTACGTGGGCGGTGGTGCTTTTTCGGGAGTAGGTGACGAAGAAAGTACCCAAGCCATTACAAACATGTTGCCGAGGTCACTATCGCGCATCCTACGGAAGTTGAGTATGCCCGGCCAAATGTGCAGTCGACTTAATTTTATACTTGACTAGTTTTAGCACCCGTAAACCAGGTGTCATTGGATGCTAGAAACAGGTTTTTGTAGAGAGCAAGCATGTCCGCCTAGAAAAGGTGGAAGACTTTTTTGTCTTTTACAGTGGTCGTATTAGCAGCTGGAGCAGTATTAGCATTAATAATGACCAAATTTACCCTCAGTTGCACCACACTGGCATGTGTTAGTATTTCAGTTACCAGTAACGGTAAGGTCACACTGAAATATGTACAATTGTCTGCTCCGGTATTCGTTGCATAAAGACTCGTCCTGCTTAACTTCAGCATCGGCTCTTGGAACACATACCATCGCAATTGTGATTTTAAGAACGGCAAAACGAAGGCGCATAAATACTATTTAAATTTGTAATTTAAGCCTTGGCCTGGTGGCTCAGAACGACTCTAACATCGTCTCGAATAGTTTTCTAGGGAACATGCGATCGCTGAACCTTCTCCAGAGGTAAAATTGCGTCTCAGGGCCTAGTACATTCATGCCTCCTGAACCACAATCTGAAAAGTGCACCTTGGCGAAGCAAGCCGCACCTTTAAGTGTATTTCACGAACGCTCCAGATTGGCTTCTACTGCGGCTCAAGAAAACTTAATCTTCGTCCTTTTTTTCCGAAGAGTTTAGCGCGCATGTTTACCATTTGACCTACTTTGGATACAGGATGCTGTCCCCACTATCAATTCATCACACACCAGGTCACGAGACTGCCGGGAGCTGACACATATTTCGGCCTTTTGTAAGTCTATCGAGAACAATATCGGTTATGTCTTCAGTCCCACCAAGAAACGTTTATCCGCACAGATCACCAGGAAAGTTAAGATGTCGGCGGAAAACTTGCTGGATTGCACGAGCGGTAGGGATTTCGACCTAAATGGTGTTCGGTAACCAACTGACTCCTATAGTTAGGCTGTGACTAACCGACTACTTTAAATGGGTCTTAAGGAGGCATCCTATTATTTCCTGTTTCTATTCACAAACTATCTCGATTATAGGAATCTACATATTTTGTCGTCGATTCCATTGAATCGTTTAATGCTTAGATTGAGAATGGTTAATTTCCTTGTCTTGGTATCTTTCACTACTTTGTGACGTCATATTCGTCTCCTGCTCACCCAACTGGCTCGCAAGGGATTACCTCTCATTCTATCCTTCAGATCATGTCTGCCAGCAAGAGGAAGTCGGCGGCTGAAGATGACCTCTCGGATGCTTCTTTATCTAGCCTGGAGGTGAGACTTATCCTACTACTCTATCTACTTGTTTTCTCAGGATGAACCACCGAAAAAGCAGACCAAGTCGGGGACTTCTACGACAAAACTGCCGGATGTTAGGAGAGAAACTTCTGCCAATGGTGACAAATTAATCGATTTGACCGGAAAGAAATACGTTACTGTCCGCAATTTTAAAGGTCGCGTTTTCGTGGATATTCGGGAATACTATGAGGACAAGAGTGATGGCGGCCTAAAGCCCGGGAAAAAGGGTTCGTTGCCTGTTGTCACTGCACTTTTTTTAATCTTTCCCCCATAGTTCATTTGCATGGTAAGATCAGGCTGACGTTTTTTTGGGGTCTCTGGCTTTTTTCAGGCCAGATTTTGATTTGGCCACTGTGGGTGTGGGTTGGTTTTATTGCGTATCGTGAGCAACACCACGTTCGCAAGGGCATGTTCCTGTTTCTGCATCCACGTGAACAATGATGTCCGTTTTACGCTCCACAGCATGGTAGGCCCCGAAACTAGAACTTGCGCCCAAATAGCTGATTTCGGCGGTTAACTCTGAATGCGTGTAACTTGGTTAACATGTGCCCCGTAGGAATAAGCATTGTTTTCAATGTGGTAGAAGCTTGTTCAAGTGCTTTGAAGCCGATAAATTCGTAAAACGCCTTGCTAAAACTTCACGGATGTGACAAAGCTTCACAGCCCAACCAGTTCGGCTCGTGAATGTTTTCACGTGAAAAATTTAACCGGGATGGGACTATTTCGGTTCCTCGGATAATTTTAGCTTATTACGCTCTTGAAGTGATTGATTTGTCGTCTTCCAGGCACTTATAACGCCTGCATAAAACCCCAGGAAGTAACTGAGAAGAAGTAAATGCGATCAATTGGACTTCAAATTTAGCTTATTACGCTCATGAAGTGCTTGATTTGTCGTCTTCCAGGCAGTCACGGCGTCCGCATAAAACCACCAAACGGCAATATAAAGTAGCCGACACAGACGAAGCTTCGAGTGCCAGGAAGTAATTGAGAAGAAGTAAGTGCGATCGATTGGGCTTCAACTTTATTCACTTGACCTTTCGGGTTCTTTTTTGAACCCATAATCAAAGAGTGTAGCAAAAAACGAGTACTTCGTGCATAGGCTGTTGCAGTATTTATATGCTACGGTCGTTATGCTGCGGTATACCTATGAGTATTAATGATTCCTCCCCTATCTAAGATAGTTGCCCACTTTTGCGCTACTGGCTCGATGGCCGACTGACTGCTGAACTTTCATCGCTCGTACCGGATTTCGGCGTGATAATTACTCGGCCATCTAGCTCACCGGCACTGGCTTTGGAAGACGTCTTTCGATATCGATATCCATCTTCTATAACATTTATAAAGTCCCCTACGTGATTTTTGAGAAAGCAAGATCCAATCAGTTCCTCAAACTTTGCAACCGGTGAACGCCTATCTACCAATTTTAATGATGAAAAATACCCATTTATAGGGGACGACAGCCTCGAGACCGGAATATTTAAGTACTGGAATCGTATACTTTACCCAAGCAATTAAAATGCGTATGAAAAGTGAAAAGGCTAGCGATTGTTTACATCCAACCACTGCAGGCCTAATCTACACTCTGTTATGATTCTATTAAGAAGAAACACAAGCACCATTTTATCCTTTCGAGTCACCTTAAGAGGGCTCTTAGTCGTTCTTTCCCCCGAAACAAATTGCCCTGCGATACGCCAAATTGCTTAGTAATTTGTTTAATGAGACTGATTGTTACTGCTTTGCTGAAGGCTCATGTCTGTCACAGTTGGTAAGGGTGAGGAAGTCGTGGCATTATCATCAAACGGCTCCACGCAGCAGTAGATTGCCGTTGCATCGATCCCACAACAGTCACTAGTCTGCCGTTTAGCATCAAGACAACCTTTAATGCGTCACCGAATCGCATCTTGTTATGTCTCCCTTTTATTGGTGGGTAGTGACGTAAATTTATATCCGCAAAACAGAAATCTGAGCGACAGGGTCTGAGAAATGACCTTTATTTTGGACAACGCATTTGCGTGGCTGCTGCTTTCTGAAGGGCTCTGTTAAGTATATTTCGTCTTCTCAAAGCATGCATGCGCCGACCAATCAATAATTTAACGTTTTGAAAGGCTGCAATAGTGTGAGTCGCGCTCACAATCATAGCGCATGCGGTATGCGCATCCAGGGGCTGAGACCAGCCAAAAAATGATTTGCTTTTGCACGGCAGATGCCTGAGAAGTTTATATCAAAAATAACCAAGTGGTTGCTTGTTCGTATAGTATCCTCCAAATAGAACCAACGGCGGCCTGCAACTAGGTAGTGAAATAAAGTGAAAACGAATAGCTAATCCAGTAAACCATACAGTAGATAAAAGCGTTGACAGACCTGTAG